TTTTTTTTTTTTTTTTTTTTTTTAAATTCAGGCAGATTCCAGTAGTTTCAATCATTGTACATCCATATTTTAAAAGACAAAACTAGCTCAGAATATTATTTTGAGAAAACATGAAAATTTAAAAAAGCACTGCTGCACGTCATTACACAGTAAGAACAAAAAAATAACAGAATCAAAGGATCATTCTCCCTTCAAATTAATTCTGTGAGGAAGCTCAAGACTTTGTCCTTCTGGGGGTGCCATAACAAAGTACCTGCAGCCTTCCTAGTTGGATCTTCCGATAGTGTAGAGACTATAAACCACCTTGCTTTCATTCAGATCTAACACTGAGCTGATTAATTTAAGCTAACTAATGTGAGTCAAGAGCATACCTTTCTTTCACAGGGAAAAAGCTTTACTGGAGGTTGAATTTGCTTTGATACTAGACCTAAAAGAATCTCAGTGTTCACAGCAGGCCAATGTATCTTTTACCATTACTGGAAAAGGAAAGTATGGTTAAAACTCTGAACAAGGAAAGAATTCCGAAATGAGAAAATGATAATTAGCATTTTTAGACAGGCAATCCTAGCTCATCTTTTGCACCTAAGTATCTCATCACATTACACTGAATAAGACACACCTCAAATAACCAAATTATGGATTACACTTGCCTAGCACTTTCAGTCCAAGATCTTCAAACACTTTCCCTAAAAGCTTCAGGGCACAAGTGTGTGGTACAGATTATTACCATTTTACCCATGGAAAGTGAGGAATATCAAAAGTTAAGATACAGGAGGACACCTGGGGAGATCAGAACAAGAACAGAGTTCCCCTCTGCCTTAAGCCCAAAGTTACATTCCTTTTCTAGGTGCAAAAGGGTGAGATGAGTCCATGCTGCCAACGTTACAAAAGAACATCTTCTGTACGCTGCTTAATACAGAACAGAAGATTACATATTTTAGCTTAGGAATTATAAAACATAGGGGAAAAAACATCACTAAAGGTTACTACAGAGATTTTCTGTCTGCGTATATTGCTATATTCAGCTGGCAGTATTAATATTTGAAGGTTGGCACACTGACTGCGGCTGTGCCCTCAGACTCTTCTGAGGCATGTGCATTTTGACATCTAACAAACTACTCACTTATTTCACATCTTGCATGTAAAAAAAAATAAATTACCTGGTTCTTGCGTAGAAACCATGGCAATTGCCTCCTGAGATGACACGCACTCGCTAACATCTCCATTAAAAGGAATAATGACACTTTCCCCTCGCTGCTGTAGCATTTTCTCCAGCAGCTTGTCCAAATCATCACCTAGATAAGAATTAGCAACACCAAATTATCTGGAAGCTGTTTCAGACAAATGATGCAGAACATTACATACACACATGTTCTCACATAGCTGATGTCGAATCTGTGGGCTGGAGATACAGGGAAGAGAGGGAGGAAGAATATTTTTCTCTTTTATTTACTGCTTTGCCAGTTGAATGAATTCCATAAAAAATACACCACAGCTGAACAATTTCAGCTCTGTGTCTTTACAGCTAGCAGTGACATCTGATGATTACAAAGAAACACACACTATAAAACAACCGCTAAAACCTGTGCTAAAAGCGCAAACAAGAAAAGACTCACGCGCTTACGGGTGCCCTGCTGTCACATTCAGCACTATAAACAGTGTTAAAAATGTTTTGCCACAGGATGAGTAACTCACACTGCACGGGTTGAAGGAAATGAGCGCTCCTTTACATCCAGAGCATGGAGAGAAGGAAAGAACGCCTCCCGGTGGAGAGGGCAGAGCTGTATTATGTATGCTTTAACACGGGGGACACACGAACCCTAAAAAAATTACTGTCTCAGCTAGAACTTTTGTTTCTTAGGATCACTCACCTAAAGAGGTATTTTTGAAATGCGATGCCAGGAAACTAACTTTCCCAGTGATGAGCTCGTAACTGATCTCTTTTAAAAATTCACTGGTGGTAAGCATGCTTTCTGCAAGCGCCCTAGATTGATACTGACCTGGAGAAGAGGGGGGGAAAAAAGTGAGAGCAATCTTTAATACGGTGTACTATCAACACAACCTTTTCATCCTAGAAGGGTGGGGCATGCTGATCTTCAGTCATGGATCTTCACTGCCTTTGCCCCGTGGACTGAGAGAGCAGCCTCAAGACTATTTCGCTAGTGATGGAAAAATTAGTTATATGGGTTTAGCACACCCTTTGCAAGCTGTTGCCCAGTTTTGCACGCTTGGGTGACAAATGATAATGCAAAATAAGTATTTGTACCTGAGATGGAATGGAGGATTCTAGGTAAATATGAAAAAGTAATTATCCCTGGTGTGAAAAAAAAAGTAAAAAATTGACATTATTGATTTATCTGCCTACAAAGGAAAGATGAATAGTCAAAATTCACTTCCTTCCAGACACATAAATGCACACATAAACATCACAGCCAGTCACCAACGCGGAATTTGAAAATCAACATGGTAAAAAGGATAAAAAGCATGATCTCTTTTACAATGGTCTGCAGAAGACTGTGGTCAATCCAATATTGCCACGTGAAATAGCACAGCTGTTACACAAAACAAAGACAAACCAACTATTTTGTCACTGGGTCACTTCAAGATATTTTCTAAGGTAGCCACACAAACAATAAAGTCTCAGGCCTCTCAAGGAGTAGTAACGACTAGCATATGGCTATTCTTCTAGATTCTCATGGACATCAGTACTCCAAGTCTTGACAGAGGTGTAGTAAACTGTGACATTCCAGTGCAACAGTACAAAGGAGAATAAAAAGAATAAAAGGGGTTCAAAAACTGGAAAAATGACTCAAGAAAATTAATTCAGCAAAATTGCACTGGTATTTGAAGTATACTGCAAATATACTCACCTAGGACTACCACGCAGAATTCATTTCCTCTTATCTTTGATGCACAAATGGCAACTACATAATCTGGGAGCTTTTGCTGATGTTTCATTTCATTGAGAGACCTCAAGGTCTCCGAGATGCCTTCTGCCAGCGAATTCTGGGTAACAACCACATGCACAAGGTCCCGGGACACACTAGCAATTAACCTAGCAAGCCAAGGGAGTTGACCTGGTGACACAGAGATACACTGTGCGCTCATTTGCAAGGATCGCTCTCTCAGAGTGAACTCCTGCATAGCTTTCAACATGATCTGCTCAAATTCTTCCCTCAGGGGTATCTGGTCAGGACCTACATTGAAAACAAAAAACCAGAACAGTATCTCATATAAAAATGTTATTGAACCAGGAATAATTACAAGTCTGTCTTGATCTGACAAGCTCCTTCACCATATTTTTCACTTTTACAAAAGCCACTTGCTACTCAGCGGGTATCTACCCACATGGCTTATTCTTGGGTTTTCATATTAGAAGCCACTCTCTCCCACCATCTCATTTTTTTTAACAATGAGGTTAAATCTCACTCCTAGCTTTCCTACCTTCAGAAACTGGTGAGACAAACAAGGGAGTGGGAAAATATGTGCCTTTTGCCCGGAACAGAAGGATTAATCGTGTAGCCTCCATATGTTTTTACAGCAGAAAAACCAAATGCTTATCCTCACAGTCTAATCGCAGCCATGCAGTATGGCAGAGCCTGTCAAGTGGTTTTTGTTTTGCTTTTTCTCATCATGCATATTCGTAAACTAATCATGGATGTAAATAAACATGTTTAACCTCTTCTTTTACTTTAGTTAAATTAGATTAATTTCGCAAATCCTCAAACTTCTAATGTAAAGAGGTATATGCAACTTTAGATCTATGTTCCCCAGACTTTGTATGGTGAACTGGAAAACAGAACTATAAGCTACTCTATCTTAGCACCAGTCCCCCAACTCAGCTTCAATTAACATCATGCTCAGTAAGATTTGTCTCATTGTCAGAGATACTCAGGAACAGATAAAAATATTCATGAACACAGAGCAAAAAGTAACCATAGCTTAAACTGCCAAGATCTCATGTCAGTGCCAAAGAAGACAGCTTCATGCTTCAACAGCTTGCTTTTTTATGACAAAAAGGGGGGGCTTAAATACCAGAGATATGTGAAATGCTGGTTTTGGTTTTATGTTTTCTTTCAGGGCCGAAGACAACAAGAAAAAAGGGCAGTGAAAAAAAGGAAACAGAAAGGTTGTGTGAACAGCAGGGCAGGGAGTGGGTAAATAACCTATAGGACAGAATCTGTAAAAACTGCCACCTGCTGCCATTTTGCCTTTTTGAGAAGTAACATTTGGAGAGTGTCACCATCCAATTACCATAGGATGGTAGGACAACTATAGACTTGTAAATGCAAGGCTTTTTTCATTTTTGATGCAAACTAAAAAGTTCTAATGAGTCTAATTTAATGCAGTTTGGGCATAATTGTCTCTTTGTAGTTCTCTTCCTTGGAAACATGTTTTATTTTCCTGTCTAAGAAAGAATCACGCATTCTAAATCTTTGAAGATCTCAAAACAGATAAAAATAGACATTTATTGATAGAGAAATCTTCTGCAGAAACAAATTCTATCTACAAGGTATCAACCACAACAAGAAAAATGTTATACACTAAAAGAAATAAAAGCAAGCTTTTGCTGATGGAGGGAGGTTACTTAAGAGACAGGCTCTAGACACAGGGGTCATCATGAACCCAAGAAAATGTAAATAATTGTGAAAATGGAAAGACTTCTGTATGAGAACACACAGAATTTCATTCAGATGATTTCTAAGAGAAAATAGCTATCAGAACGGCACTGCTAAGGAAATCTCTTTAAATTAGTGAAGTGTTTAATACCACACTTGGCTCATGGCAGTCGTTCTCCACAGCTATCCAGAAAAATAATGGAACTAATATCAGATGAGATGGAAGACAAAATGATAGATACTGATTTTGATTGTGAACAGTTTCCTAAGTATGTATACAGGAATCTGTCAAAGTTAAAAGGGAATATTTGGAAGCTTCTCTACAGAAATAAGTACGCAAAGGATGATCTTGACTTCAGAAAACAAAACTGCCAAACAAATAATACCATAAAATATTAATATTTGAAAAAGACCTTATTAACATAGTTATGCTTCCAAAAGCATCTACAGTTGAAGACATCATATTCAAATGCCATCCATTTCTGGGTAGACACGCTTCACTGTGCATCCCACAGAGAACCACTCCTCAAACCACCTAAGATGAGGAGAATTGCTGGAGTAGCCTCTTGCTTTGAGTGTCTGAATATCCCTTCCACTGAAGACAGAGGCTTGTTCCTGCCTTAAGCCTGGATGTGCATTCAGATACTGAAGCTACAAAACACCTCTGGGTGTCACAGCACACGCATAGTCGAAGCAATTCAAATGTACCGCAACAAGAGAGAAGGGAGAATGATTTTAGAATTCTAAACAGGTAGTTAACAGAAGGTCCAAAAATCTCCTCCAGCTGAAAAACCAAAATACAGACCTTAGCACTGCGTAGGATCAGACTGTGTTTGTAGAAACGGTAGTGCTATAGTAAAAAGCAGACTACTACAAATGATAGAATGTAACCTACACTGCAAATATGGGCATTTTGAGGTATAAAAACAAAGCTTGAGAATACTTCACTACGAATACTGCCAACGATAACAAATGTGAAATCTGAGTAAGTACAGGAGACAGACTGTAAAAACTCGTTGAAATCAAACACACCTCTTGATCATTTTTTACTTATTCCTTTATCACAGTCAGTGGAATTTATTTAGAGCAGTGCCATGGCTCACAATCACAGCTTTAACTGTGTATAGTCTTCCTAGTATGTTTAAAATGAAAGCACCAGAAACGCACTTATTTTGTTTGCTGTGATCTGTAGCATCATTGTGAGATTGCTCAGCTGATTTCTGAAAACACAACAGCATTATCCTACAATTAATAACGTCATAATCCTACAGGAAAAATGAAAGGAATTCTCAGATATTTTTTTTAAAAAGGAGCACTTTCATAAACAATATTCTTATGCTCTGCAATCACAGTCATCTGCAAACATATTTTGTACAAGTAGTGAGATCTGAAAAAATTAGGCAGGACTTAGTATCTATTTCATTCTTCTGTCTGCTTTTTTATCTTTGCCTTTATCTTACTCTTTCGCAACATACTCCAGAAAAGAGAAAAACTTTTTAGTCCTACTTTCTCAAGAAAAAAAAAGAGGCTGACATGAATAAATTGTTAATTTATGTGTTTATTTGTCTCTTATCCTCGTCAAAAACTTTTGAACCTGGCTGCCCTCCAATCATCTTTAATCTGCTTTGATTTTACAAAACGGGATAAAGGCTACAGTTCAGTGCAACTGTCACAATTCCAACAGTTTTAAGTTTGTACCAATATTCAAACCAGCAACATGTTTTGATCCCCATGCTCTGCAGAATGTTTTCACTTTTCTCCTCATTAGGTTCTTTCATCTTACAGTGCTCACGCCCATCTCCACATAAGGCCAAATGGAAAACTATTCAGCTTTGCACAGCTAAGAACAAAAGCCAAACCAAACACCTGCTAATCAGGGAACTGCTTTATGCCGAAGGCACGGTGCTCACTAGACACAGCGCAGCTCAGCTCCAGAGGCTTTGCATGAAGCCTTCTCTAGTTTGCAGCAAGCATAGACTTGCTGCACCCATCTAAGGTTGGATTTGCTCATGGAGTGTGGTTCACTGACTGGGTAAGTTTCAATAAATTGTTTATTTTTAACTGGAAATGCTCTATCAGCTGCCTACATGTTTCTCAGAAGGAAATTTGCAAGCTGCCTCTAATCAAGCCAGAACTGTGTCAAGCAGCTGGTTTTAACATGCAGGCTCTACAGACTTTCCAGTGAAGATGAAAACCATGAATAACAAATCTAAGCCCACTGAGGGAAGGGCAACAGAAAAACATTCAGCCTGTAAAAAATAAAGAAACCCTCTGTCAGTTCTGACAGGGCATCCAATGGACTACTGAGGCAGAGAATGATAAATAAAGCAAACAAGTTACTTAGAGAGTATTACAACACAGAAGATGGCCTCCTTCCCTTCGGTAACAGTACTGCATCAAGGGAGAAGAGCAAAGCATAAGAACCCATGGGTGAAACCTGCACAGAGCACATTTGCTCCCCAAATTACAGGGTTATCACCAGTTGTGCTTCTTTTGAAATGTTTGCAGTTTTCACACCGTTATGTATTACAGATGCCCTAGCAGAAACCCAGTACAGGAAAAGCAGCGTGCTCTTCACAAAAGTCATTTCACACTCTCCTCTAGCATAAGAAACATCTTTTCAAATACAGAAGTTAAGACAGAGACTGCTGTGAGAAGTTTCCCAAGGCTATCCTGCACTATTCTTTAACTTCTAAAAGATTAACACTGCTGCTTTTTACTCTAAGGTAGGGAAAAATGTCTGGACCTACAATAAGAGAAAGAAAATGTGGTTTGCTAGTTTGCTCTCTCTTGCAAAGAGTCCATTTCAAAAACACTTACAAGAATGAGATATTCACTGAATCACTTGCCTTGGTCTGAATAACAAATGTGGTTTTCATGTAAACGGTGCTGTCACCAAAACAATGATGACCATCACACATCTGCCAGCATTTGTCACAAAACTGAATAAAACAGACTGACTGTCCTTAGAAAGAGCTGTGATAACTGATGGTTTGATACCCTAAGCAAATGAGTTATCTGCATTGCAAATCCATTTTCACAAAGGTGACCTGGTCGATCCCCATATGGAGAGCAGAAGCAGTATCAGCCTTTAAATTCATGTCACTTCTTCAGTTTGATGAACAAAGTAGCGAAGTCACACACACTAGATGGAGCCACTTACCTCTGCCAGGCACAAAACCAGCCAGAAAATTGGCTCTGAAATGGACATAAAGCGAGTGAGGAGAGAAAAGGACAGTCACAAATAAAAACAAGTGCTTATGACAAATTGCTTACCTAGTTGGACAAGATACTGAATAGTTAAAAGTATCATATTTTCCACACTTAGCAGCTGACTGCTTGTCAAACCCAAGAGATCCAAATCCTTGTTTTCCAGCTGTGGAATCTTGTAGCAATTCACCAGCAAGGGACTTACAACAATATCACCAACATTTCCATAGAAATAAGGTAAAGTGCCATAACCTTTGATAAAAAAAAAAAAAAACAAACAAAAAAAACACCCCCAGAAATTCACAAAATATGCCACTACATGAAATCTTGCACAATGTATACATTTCCAAACTTCTCCTTAGTGTTATCTTGCAAAATACACTGCATCAGTGACTGTTCTTGACATTATAATTGCTTACAAAATAAACGAGATAGGCCAGAGATCCTTTGCTGTATTTTACAAGTGATCACATAGACTTGCAAACACTAACAATAATGGCGTACCAGCAGCATAATTATTGTTATCCAAATACAACCGAGAATATTATCTGTTTAGTTCCTACCCTGGCCTTTAAATACAGATTCTCCATAATATAGCGTACAAAAAAGAAAAATCAATGGAAGCAAAAGTACATTGATCTTGACATTATGAAAGCAGCATAAGTCACATTAGCATTGATTCAGCCACTGTGGTATTTCTGTGATTGATTTTACCTTTTTTGCCATGTTTCAATTCTGTTTTCATAAACAGATTAAATAAACATCAACAACTAAACATGATGTTCTGTAAGGTAAAGCACATGAGCGCAGGCTAACTCCTCTTTTCCTTGAGAAAGTTTTCATTTTAAAAAAAATTCCACACAGGTTTTGCCAAACCCATCCATTTGGGTACATCTGGTTCTGTACTATTAATAGGACGCTGTTTCTCAGAGCCACTAACATTTAGCCTAACTGAGGACTTCACTGGCAACTCTCCCAAGAGCCTAAGGGCTGCATTCAATTTGCACTTAAGCTGATGACCGTAGGCACCCTCATCTTTAATAAGGAAGTGTTCCTCTGCAAACCGTTAGAGCACCGTGCTAGAGCTTCTAGAAGACAACACCAAGCAACATAGACTAGAAGAAGTGTAACCCTACCCTTGATGGTTTTACTAGCACACGGCCCTGTTCATTCTCTGGGAATTGTGTGTATTGGGATTATCTGTGCAAGTGAGGACTTGGAGAACTTTTCCATTTCTTCAGGAATGATAAATTATTCCATGGACTGTATTCACAGGCATGTTCTGTTAACACTGAAGCTACTTTATACAACCATCTGTATGGTGCTGGGTTGAAAAGAGATTTAAAGAACCAAAAAAATTTCAGCAGCACTAGACAACCCATCTTTATTATATAGTATGTCCAAGTAGCTCAGCTTGAAAGTGATATTCACACTACGAGTCATACTTTTAAAGTAAAAGCAATGTCCTTCTAAGGGTTAACAATGTACTTTATACAGCTAACGGGTTTTAAAAGCCTGATCTGTTATCTCAGTTGCTTACAAGAAGTATGGACTAAAAAAGTTAGTATGATTCACTTCTGATTAGTCAGTTCAAATTAATTTTCTGGTTCTCATGCAGAATCCCTGGGCTTCAAGATCTGGACTATAAATGCTGTGGGAAATATTTGCTTGTTTTGTAAGTTGTTTACACTGGAAAGCTATTTTCATTACGTGGAAATATTTCTATTCCTGGATTTTACAAAAATCTTATTTGTACAAAACTTCAATTTGGCCAGAGGTTTTGTATAAATTTGACCTAGTTGTGACCTGTTTGCAAATCAGATTCTCCAGCAATCGCTTAACTTCCAATTTTAAGTGTTGAGCAACTAAAGCGAACTATCCGTGACAAACTGACTTCATATTGTACTGAATGCCAGAACCAACAAAAAGAAATCAACACCCCCTTTCTTCTAGGGGAGCATGCATTTATTCAAAATGCAGCATTTGATTCCCCCATGTAAGACTTACCTATCAGAATCACTGGTCTGACTCCTGAGTTATTCAGCAGGTTTTCAGGAACTATTACAGTCTCCCCTGCTGGGATGGGTTGAGGCTGTAAAATTCCAGTTAACATGGATTGAGGAACTGGGACTGACAAAAGAGGCTCTATAAAATAAAGAAAAGAGAAGCTTCCATTACTAAAAGGCTCATACTGTGATTTGGCCGTATGAACAAATGAAAAAAATTACTGCAGATCACTAACTGTAATAAAATTCAAAAGGTCTCTGCATTTCCTGCTATAGTTTTAAGTAATTTAAATTAAGAGCCTATATCCTCCTGTGGCCCCACCCCTAAAATAAAACTTTTTCTGACCACTGTATTGTTGGTGGGAATGAGAGAGGAAAACACAGGTTTGAATATGCATCTTCAAACAAAGCCAAGTACTCAGCCAAAAGGCCACCTCTAAGACAGAGGTTACCTCTCAATACTGCCTCTCAATAGAAGGGAAGAGACTGCTCTGACTTCTGACATAGAATATATGTAGATAAGAAAAACAAATACAGGCCAAAATCTCAAAGTTGTTCTTAGACAATTGCTACAAGGATAAAAATTAGGCTCTACTCATGCAAGAGCAAAAGCAGCTTTTTCACAAGTAAAAAGAAACAAAGTGCAAGAATTTTGTAATCTGTAATCAGGTTTCAGCATGAAGTCTGCTTCAGAAGTTTCTCAGGCTTCATTTGGTGGTTTGTAACAGATTTTTCAAACAATGCCATCAACAGAAAAGCATCATAGGCAGCATCAATGAATGCATGCATGCATATATTTTAGCAGTTTAATTGTTTATCCAATAGAAAAAAACCACTATGAAAGACTCATGGAAAATGGAGTCCACAACAGAGGTAGTGGATTTGTTGAGACAAACTCAGCAAAAGGGAGGAGATTGCCTTGTATCACGTATCTTCAGCAGGCCTCTGCAGCTGGAAATCTACAAAAGCTGTGATTGATTCGAGCTGCTCAGGTAGGCAGGCCTGCAGTACCATGTAACCCTTCTTACTGTGATTAGTATCTCTGAAAGTCAATTCCCAAATACCTCAAAATCAAGCCCTCCAAAGCAGAGTTAAGAATATATTGTGCATATTGACAAATGTTGGATTTTTTTCTTGTATATTTGTTCTCCCACTCTCTAGAGATAGGAATAAGTAATTGTTTATTCCCCTTTACAAATTATTCTGAATCCCACAACTGAAAAGTGCTTAAACAGTGAACAGTTTTGTTGATAGCTATCATAAAGTGGTACCTACACGGATACTGATGAGTATTCACACATACTCGTATTTAAACCTGTTTCACATTGTGATGTTACATATCCCTCATAACTTTTCCATGCACAATAGACATTTGGTCTCACAAACTTTATGCTTTTAACTGAAGATGACCTAGTGGACATTAGTGTCCTTTGTTAGGCAAAAATGATATGAAGCCCTTTTTCCTGTGCAGGAACTGACTGTACTGCTTCTGTAGCATGCCACACTAGACTGAAACACAACATTCAAGGTGAAGGCTAACGGAAATCATTCAAATATTTCATACATCCACACACCTGCACAATTTTGGAAAAACTGAGTTACATTTGGGGGACTTAGATAGCTTTGGATCCTTATTAACACTACTCTCCTCTTCCTTTCTTCTCTCTCCTCCAATAATTTTACTTTCCCATTGTCCCATCTTAGATTATGGCAACAAGGACCAGGCAATCACATGTGTTTTCCTGGGGCATCTGAAAAACCTTCCATGGTGTCCTTAACTACTTCAACAAGCTTAGTTATGTTCTCTGTGCAACACTTAAGAGAAGCAGCACAAGACTACTGGTCTGGCTGAATACAGCTTTTTACAAATGAAATCTGTCTGATTCAAGCGTTACCTGTTCTTGCCGAAGGTCGAATTGTAGGAGCAGGTACCGCTAAACCAGGAGGAGGGACTGGGGACCCAGGAGACCATCCCCGGTGACGTTTCTTTGGTGGTCCAGAACTGGACATTGATGCTGAGAAGAAAAGCAAAAACTAATTCTAAACCCCATCCTCCCAAAAAACCAGATTCCAGCCTCCACTTCCATTTCACAGCGGTGCTGGTCTGCTATCATGTCACAGAGAGTCAGAGGTTTACACCTAGATTTACATGAAGCCACATTACGATGTGAAAAATATTACCTGTGTTAAAAAGTACAGCATTATCATGAATGGTCACACCAAAAACCACACAGATCTGTAAAGACTGAATTGCAGAAACAGCAGTGATAGGAAGAAGAATAAATTTGCGAATTTCAGGCTCAACAGCAGCTTAAAATAAAAGAACAGAGAGGTTTTCTTTACCTTGGTCTCCAGCTGCACAGCCAGGGCTTGGAGATGTCGAGTGAGGCATTGGCCGAGAGACTGTAGAACTCAATACATTATTTCTTCCTCCGTTAGCGTTTCCATTAGCAACATCAGTGGCACGCAGTGAAAGAGGAGCTGAGTATAATAAAATACAGAGTGCATGGCTTGAGCCAATCTTGAAAACAAACAAACAAAATAATACGGCCGCATGCAGACACAAAAGAACAGGGCAAGATGCGTGACTGAAAGAAACATACTCCAGGGAAAGCGTGAAGTGTACTTGGCAGAGACTAATCTGGGCACAGGCTGCAAAATCCTAACCTTGAAATGGGGTCTCCAGATTTCAGGGTGGGGAGGATAGGTGGGAAAAAAAGTCCAAAAGAAACCCCACTAAAGTAAAATAGAAAATTACACACAAAAATGTAATTGGGAAGTTTGTGACATGTCTTTTTAGACACTGAAGATTTAAAAATATGCACATAATGAATTCAGTTTGTAGAGATTTCTAAGCCTCTCTGGTGCATCTACATATTTTTCTGCCAGTTGTCCATGTGCCATACACAGTAATTCCCTACAGGGCTCTTATCTAAAGCTTTAGCAAGGGAGACTGGGCAGACAAGACAGGACAGTTTGCTGTTAAGTATGTATGCTCTGAGCATTACTATGGCAAATTATGCTTAATTTTGCTACCTTTGCCTAAGACAATCCTCCAGTCCCAGCAGGTCTGACACCCTGGCAGGACCCACTATATCCAGATCACGAAATGAAACTACAATGACAGAGAATCACAAGAAGTTATCCTCATGCTTCTGAGCTCCTTCTTATTCTTTTTTAGAGCCTAATTTTTGCAGGAGAAAAAAAACGGCATAAGATGCAGAGCAGACATGGAGCCCAGTAGGGACTACAGTTCCTTGCCATATCTGCCAGCTCCACAAGGATTTTGCTCCCAGGAACATATTCTAGGAGCAACAGCAGGAGATGGTGCAGCAGCTTGCTGATGCCAGCTGCAACGGAAAGAGTTTGAAACGTGGGTATTTGACTTAAAACAATGTAATGTGGAACTCTCCAGCCTCAGTCATCCAAATAAATTCAAGCACAAGATTCTCAGGTTGCCAATAAGTAAAATTTGAATAACATCACTTGCCCATTGTAAGCTCCCCATTTGTACTCTGAGTCAACAATTTGTTATGGAGAGATACAGCTGGCACGGGTCAGTTACAGAAGTGGTTATATATAACAATATATATTGCATAAAATAGCAGGTGTAATACATCATGTATAAAACATAGTGCTCATGTGCATACATAAACCAAATAAATTTATATTTTTCCTTATTCGAGCATACTTCACTGTAATAAGTGTGATTTTCTTTTCATTGCTTAAAGGACTAACCAGCTGAAGTCATAAACAATCAGAACATCACAACACAGTACCAGTGAGAGATTTAGAGGCCACGGTTGAGGGTTCTAATTTATTAAACACACAATGCAGAAATAAATAATTAAAACAGCACAGAGATTAAAACTCCTTTAAATGAGACTAAATTCCATTAAATGTATCTGGAGGAACTATACCTGTTACAAATGCAGAACACCACACAGCTCTCAGTTACTGAGGCAAGAATCAGCATCATATCAAGAGGTGACTTTTATGCTCTCTTAAATATCTTCGGAAGTGCAAAGAGGGATATGACATGCACTTTTACCAGAATGTCAAATCTGAAAGCCAAACTGTGGCTCAGTTTGGGGACAGCAATGGCCATGGAAAATTTTTGTGCAGAGGACTGCAAAAATATGAGAGTTTTGGATAATGCTGGTGTAGTGAATGTTTTCATTTCCTTTTTCCACCAAAAAGATGACTCCCTTATTTCTTGGCTGCTAAGCTGATAATTCCTTTGGCTCTCAGCTATCCTAGAAAGCAAAGCCGTACCTGCAGCAAATGCCTTTCCTACGAGCTGTACTGACAGAGCCAGAGGTTTCACAATGCTCTTGTTCCGGGATGGGTCTTGAGTTCCACTTAAGTTGACAGCAGAAGATGATTTTGCTGGACTGAATACTGAAGAATCTGGGAAAAGAAGTTGTTTAATTAATTAATGATTAAAAATTTTATGTATCTGTGCATATATAATTTGTATTATATACACATTATATACACATTTATCTAAACTCATCTCTGCATATAATGCAAACAATTTTTTTACGCATCTAAGAAATCATCATGTATTGGTATCTTTTAGGAGCTGTAACAAACATTTAACTGGGCATTTCTATAGAATCTCATAATCTACTGATTGATCTCTTTCACAATATTTTGTATTCACATACACTCAAAACATATTTTAACCATAGAAAGGGCTATCTCATTGCTCCTCAAAACACCCCTGTGGGATAGGCAAGCAAACACAGCTGTCCCATGTTACAGATGACAAAGCTAAGGCCAAGAGCTTATGTGACTTGCCCCCAGCAAGCACAGGGAATAAGCGCTGGAATAAGTTGCCTAAAAGGGTTGTGGAATCTCCATCATCTGAGATTTTCAAGAACAAGTTATCGAACCTCTGTCAGACAAGCTGAGCTTGACTTAGGGCACAAAATAATATCAAATCCATAATCTCCTTACAGCATTACTGTCTATAAGGCTAAGAAAAGTGTATGTCCATTAGTAAGTCTGGATAAAAAATGAAGAGCATCTAAGCCCAAGCTCTTTGCATGAATTAACAAACAGCAACTCCTTAGAGCACCTTACCAAGGCTGGAAATATTAGCTCTATTTTATAGATGGATAAACTGAAGAACAAATTCTAATACTTGGCCAGTATGAAACTGTAAATCAGAACTGATTCCAGACCTCTCAGCATGTAGGCCCCTACTTTAACATCAGGCATGTAATATCTGCAATTTACTACATGAAAAATTTGACATTTGGGTGCTGACACACTGATAAATCCAAAATCTTATAACTGGGGTGAAAGACTATTAAATCCACATTTGTCTGGGAAGTAGCTTGCAACAAGTAGGCAAAGTAGGCTAAGTTCCCCTACGGATGTCCTAGTAAAACAGCCAGGGAAATAAAACAGAAGGCAAAGACCAACTTGATCTGCCAAATACATTCACCCTCAGGCCACACACCATTTGACAAAGGAGGGTGGGGAGGACAGTCTGCTTTGCCAGACGGAGTAACTGGGATGGGGAATGAAGACAGAAGACTCTGCTGCTGCTGCTCCACCAGAAAGCCTTGTCCACATTCACAGGAAATGTGCTGAGTGGCTAACAAAATAGACCACCAAGTCAGGGGCTTTGGAAGAAAACGTTGGTCTCTCATTAAATATGATGTAGCAAATATGTAGTGTTAAAGCTTTCCTCAAAGTAAGCTGTCCAGAAGCTTTGGGGTTTTTTTTCTTCTCTCTAGTTCTAATACATTTTCTTGAAATTTTATCTATGAGTGCAGATGTGGCTGGTGTACCTTTAAACATCACACCGGTATGTAAGCAGAATTTGTAGTACTACCAGTTATTAAAATTGTTCATCTTTCTATTGTAAAACCCTGATTCTAGTTGCTTAACACCCTTTTAACACCTGAATTGAAGTTTTCCCTCTTGTGTGTCTGCCTAAAACTGAATTTTTGATTCTGTTCCAGGTTTCAGCCATTTCTGCATTGCCAGTCGCCTCTCCTCGGCAATGGAACTGCATCTTCACACACTGTTTTCAAAGGGGGACCTGACACCTGACTGCAATGTCATGGCCACACCGTACTGTCAGCTTTAACTATGGTATTTCAAAATTCTCTCGTGCTGTAATTTCTATGATAAAATTACCATTTCAGTGCAGCTCCCTGTGTGTGCCTGTAACTGTCTACCTACAGGTGTCTTCCAGAACTTGGAGACTGAACTGCTCACTTAGAAGGGCAGAAAACGGGAATATTTACACAACTTTAAAAGGAAAAAATGGGTATGAGTTGACAATAAACCGAAGATTATTTCAGAAAGCAACTTGCTAGTAAGTACTCCCATTTTAAACCAACCAAGAATTCAACTCAAAGTAAAGCTATGCAAAGCCTAGGAGAGAAAAAGTCAGACCTCCATCATAGGCGACATATGTCAGAATTCACGCCACCAAAAAAAGGTGCCCTCCCCCCTTCTCCCGGTCACAGGGGATTCATATGTATGCATGTGGCATTATCTTCACGAGAAGATAACAGTAGAAGGAGATGAAAAGGTTTTGACAACTGTGACCTAAGAGTACAAACAGTGACACACAGAAACACCAAGCGGGCTGAAAATCGCACCAGGTGATAAGGAGAAAGCAGTATATAAAAGGTGTATCTATTAACTTGGCAGGTACAATAGAAGACAAAGCTGTGTAAATATTGGATCACTTGTTGTTTGAAATAAATAGGTTCTCATGCATCTGCACAGTTCTCATGCCAGGATCTGGAAGGCAATGGATCATGCAATGAAATGCAGATATTTAAACAACACTCTCATTTAATTTTCACCAAAGCCCAGAGCACACAGCTTCCTAAACAGAGACAGGGGTGACCACCAGGGGAAAGTGTCTCTGAACATACTGATCAGTGATTATGATTTCATAAGAATGCATATGTTCAGCTTTTATTTGCTATTCCTTTTTAACATACTTTGTAAGTGGAAGAAGTATTTTAACAAGCTTGTTTTTTCATCTGCATTTCATACTCCTCTAGAGAAACATATGTTCTGGTACGTACATATCAACCAATTACAACTAACAGAAAGTTTTCTCCTGTTTTTAACTTTTCAAGAAATAGCACAAACAGACACAAAAGCATATAAACAGCATAGATGAAGCTGCAGTAAAGCAATGAGGAAAAAAAGCTCAAACAAAAGCACCTTGGTTATTTGCAATAAATAAATAAATAAATAAATAAATACATGAAATTAAGGTGCTGCTTCTTTGTCAGCCAATGTCCATTTGATTTTTATAGCTTCTCCTTGTTTAAGTATGCCATTAATAGCTTTCTAAAACAGTTATGAGATGCACGCTAGCTCACATAACACAATACCACTGTATGTGTACGGGGAAATTGCTATTCTAAGTACACCCTTATGTGAAATAAAATTTAAATAAATAAATAAGCAAACAAATAAAAGCTGCCCCCCTAACCCCAAAAGATTATTTTCCTTTTCAATACAAATAACCTAGTCTACATACTAAGTAAATACCTCCCTATATGTAATTCAAGTTTTTTTGAGATCCACAAAAAATTAAATTAAACAAACCCAGGGACATACAGAATCAAATAAATTAACCAAAAGATCTTTTAATACCTTTTAATCGACTTTTCTTATGAGGACTAAGCTAACCTTCAGCCTCACCTGGGTCTTCATCTTTCACAAAACAGATTTTGACAGGCATCCTCCCCGCTGTAATCTATACATGGCTTGAGGTAAATACCCAGTTGTTTACAGCATCCCTGAACCAACAATATCAGAGGTAACTTACCACCCCCAATGGTTATCTTTATAGCACTTTCAGCTCCTACCTGTCTGAGTGAACCCTGATTTGTATCCATTAGCTGATCCACCCTCTGGGGTCGTGGACGGTGACACCGAAGAATTTGGTTTAGCAGAGAGGTTAGCAGCAGATGATTGCCTGCTTCTACATTCTGCAAACGAAGCAGCTACAGTACATATTAACACGGCCTGCCTTCCAGTAGGGAAGTTCAGCAACACGGTGGCGAAAGGTGACAAAATGTTAAAAGCATACATACAGCACGTACGACAAACAGCAGCAAATGGCAGCATTCAATGAAGATACAGCTCTCGCAGTTTAGTCAACTTTGTCTTCTAATTAAGAAAACCTCCCTGGGGGCCACTCAGAGGGCCAGGCAAATAGAGACCAGATGCTGCAAAATGGCAAAAGCCCTCAGTTTGCAGCTTCCAAGAGATTTGAAGGTACTGGACATATCCCAGGAAACACTCAGCGACTTTTGTGGCACAACCTTTATACAAACCGTCATATGTTGCCCTTTAAAAGGAGAAATTGTGCTGAAACCCAGATTCTTAGTATGCCTCCACAAAACCTTCAGGGAGATCTCAGTGCTGTGTCTGTCTGGATGAAAACTGAGTTGAGGGAGGAGAAAGTCACCTTAAAAATCACACATTAATCCATTTTAAAAGCTGACATCTAATCAGGTTTTGTTTGAAGAGAAAGGGGTATTTAAAAGCATTTTTCTTCTTCTAATTAGACCTTTAATGTACATAAAGGGTGAAGGGTTACCAGGTGGATGGTAGTAATATGGGGATGGAGCCTATCAAAATAATGCCCACGAGGGTGATCTTTGGTCGATTTTCTAAACTTTCACGGGTGCTCAAAACACAAGAGATTTGAAGGTACTGGACATATCCCAGGAAACACTCAGCGACTTTTGTGGCACAACCTTTATACAAACCGTCATATGTTGCCCTTTAAAAGGAGAAATTGTGCTGAAACCCAGATTCTTAGTATGCCTCCACAAAACCTTCAGGGAGATCTCAGTGCTGTGTCTGTCTGGATGAAAACTGAGTTGAGGGAGGAGAAAGTCACCTTAAAAATCACACATTAATCCATTTTAAAAGCTGACATCTAATCAGGTTTTGTTTGAAGAGAAAGGGGTATTTAAAAGCATTTTTCTTCTTCTAATTAGACCTTTAATGTACATAAAGGGTGAAGGGTTACCAGGTGGATGGTAGTAATATGGGGATGGAGCCTATCAAAATAATGCCCACGAGGGTGATCTTTGGTCGATTTTCTAAACTTTCACGGGTGCTCAAAACACTTGCAATCAGCATATAACCAAAAGCAACCCCAGTACCTGCCCTTTCCACATGTGCATTACCCCTGACAGCGTTTACTGGGACATACACCAGGACACACACACACCAACCGCAACCACCTGAGCATCAGGGAGGGGTTTCAGGAAAAGGATTCCAAAATGTAAATAAGGTTTCCTTTTTCTGTATTTGGAACTTCAAAAAGAGACTAGCAAGTTAAATCTGTAGTTGTTTTGTGAAAAACGCTGCTGAAAAACACATCCACTCTAAAGCAGTAGTTAATAGTACTTGTAACTGAGAAAAGCAGCTGAAGCCAGGATCCCTTTGAACCACTAACTGATACAGGACTATAATCACTCATACAGCTCAGTGATAACCATCTCTCTCTGGTGTCATGCTGCCATTCACATGAGGATGTGACTCTTCAGATGCATGTCAGTCCTCCTGTGGAGCTTCTCCTTGCCTCACATCATCCTCTTTGGCAACAGGCACCAGATCAAACTCTGTCTTTACTGAGTGAGACCACAGCTGAGGAAGACAACCAGTCTGCATATATACCAACTTAGTAGGCAGAAAGTAGATAAATCATTCTCTCCTTGAGTGTTTGCATGGCTCTAGCTCCAAACCTCTGCATCCTCCAGTAAGAGACCCCATGGCTACGTTGCCTTGGGGTCACAAATGTCATCTTTTCAGCACACAGCAATATCGCACAGGCTGCCATGGTAGAGGGTAAGCCCAAGTGTAAAACACACCATAAATGGCAAGAGTATGCAAGATTTCTCCT